TCCATTGCACTAAAAGATATTGCTTGAGTTTTATTTTACTCTTCTATCAATTTAACAAATATAATATTATTTATAGTATTATTAGTTATAATTTTCAATTTTTTAAAAATTAACTAAACTATTTTAATCTTATATTATATTTATTTTAAATATATAAATAAATTTATCTTTTTTTGAATTATAAATTTCTTTAAATATAATAAAATGCTTATTTAATATTTTTACTTAAATAGCATTTTAACTCTTTCCGCTGATTCTTTGACCACATAAAAAAAAACGTTCACAAGAAGTTTTCATACTTCTAGATTAATAAAGTCTTAATACTTTCTTTAAAACAACTTAAAGAAACTTCAAGAGTCATTATCACTTCCTTTCCTTCTTGTTAATACTTCTTTTTGAACAAAAACTTGACTGCTAGTGACTTGAAAATCAAGCAACACTTTTTCTACCAAGGGCAAGAAAGTTATGAAAGGTAGAAGAACCAATGTGCCATCATCTCACACTATAGAGAAATACTATAGAAGTGTTTGTATAATGAGAAACAACTTTCCCACTCTCATCATGTTTTTTTTCTCATAGTACTCATTCTTGGTTTTTTCTGGAGAATTTTGCCTATCTCAGTTTGACCCTGAATTTTGAGTAGCACAAAGTTTCTCACATCGTGATTGGACAGATAGAGCTCACATTAGTAAAAGAAGTAAACAAGCTCCTATTGGTCACATCACATATATGAATGCATTTCCTCAGCTCCATAAGAACCTGGGGTCCACTATAAATTATGGGAGATTATGCAGATAAATACAAAAAACAGTAATCAACACATCTCAGAAAACAGAAAAGAGTCTGTCTGATCATGGCAAAGGTCATAAGATGCTTCAATTATTTTTAGAATTGAAGTTACCTATTCTTGGTAGTTAAGTAGGTTCCTTTCACTCTTACAGATAGGTAAAGATCTATTCCTTTTTTTTAAAAAAACAAACAAGGTGGACAGGAAGTTTTTTCTAACTAGTGGATTTTTTACTCCTAATCCATGGTTTGCTGGAGGACCAGAAACCAAAGTTACATCAAGGCTCTTGATGTAACACCACTCTCAAGAAAGGTTCTAAAGTTCCAGTAGTACCCACCATTCTTACTTACAGTAAAAGTACTAGTTGGAAACTTTTGTCAGAATGGAAAACTTACTTCTAGATCAAATTTATCTTCAGAAGTTTTGCACCTTCATAAATAAGTAGCATATGCTTGAAGATAATATTACCTACAGGATTGGATTCGTCAACCCCATCAAAGGTTTTAAGATATTTCTTTGGCTATAGGTTTCATTAAGACATAGTATTCCGGTAGATAATCCACAGAATATCAGATCGATTAATGATGTTCTTTGGTAAATAGTTGATAGAAAATTTAGATCAATTATCCAGTGATCCGCATGGTTTAAGAAATTTTTTTTAGCACTAGTTAGACTTTAGACTAGTTCTCTTTTCTTTTTAAGAGGTAATCAGGTCACAAGGTAAAGTCTCTGTAAAGAAGTTCTTCTATTATAATACTTTTTTTTGTTCAAATGTTTTTTATATATGTTCTAGAGAAACTTGGTTTCCTACACCTTATATAAGAATTACTCAATAAAGTTTCAACTTAGCCAGTGTTAAAAAAAAAAAAATTTTTTTTCACTTGAATAGGTCTTTACAACTATACAAAGTCTATAATTATACTCTTTATTATCTAATCTTTATCAATAAAATAAGTAGTTATGTCTAAAAATACTTTTATTGAAACTGATATCCAAATATAAAGTGTAAATGAAATAAGACTTTCTATTTCTTGCAACATCTTTGAATTTTTTCTTGATTATTTAAATAATAATCTTTTATACAGGTTTTAATGGAAATAGCTGATAGTATTTTTGTATCTGATATTAATATTTGTATAAAAAGCTGATTTTTAAATAACTATAAAAAGTTACTGACTAATAATAATCCATTGAACAAGTTTTTTTTATTTTTGTTAAGTTGTATATTCATTATATATAAATACAAAAAATTATTACTATTTTTTTTAAAATTTAAAAATTATTTGAAATTACATTCATTTTAAAAAAATTAGTTTTTTTTTTACCCTTAGGTCAGGCTAGGTATGTGTGCTTTATTAAACGTTTGTATACTGTACATTTTAAATGATTCATTAATGCTAAGACTTTGCCTAACTTACTCGATGCCATTTTGTTTTAATATATCAAAACTCTAAGTGCAACTTTGGGAGTGATTTAGCACTTTGTGAACAGTTTAGGTGAATACCCTTCCAACCTTTAACATCATTGCCCACAGATCACCACTGCAGATCACTATCCGTTGTTCTGACCAAGCTTAAAACCCAACCACTTCATTCCATAAGTAGCACCTTTGAGTAGAATTTCTTTCAGGCTTTCATTTTCTTGAGTTCCTTCCTCTGGTAGAGGATCTTTACTTTTGAGGACTAATGGTTTTAAGCTGTGTGTGCCTGAGGGTCAGTTGATTTTATTTACTCTGCGGATCCCCTATGAATATTCTTATTCAATTATCTTCTCACATCTTTTGTTCCAATCGAATTCACCATCTGTTGTCTCTTTTTTATAAGAACTACTATTATATATTAGTATGAAGTGTAAATATATAAATAAGTTATTTATTAGATATATAAATTAATTGTTATTCAAATTAATAAACATGATATATTTATGTTATATGATCCAAGATATAAAGTGTTGTTGTGTTATTTATATTACTCTTTACTATTAAGTAATTGAGTTTTGGATGTTTTTCTAGATATTGTAGACTCTAAGTTTTAACTGATTTATCAATTAAAATTATTGTCTATAGTGCTTCTCTTAGTATCAAGAAAAGTATTAACTTGTACTAACCTAGCTAAGAGCTTTGTGAAATTGAAGTTGAATCTTTAGAACTTTGCTGTAAATTTATTTTTTTGAAGTTTTCTTTTCTCTATAAAGAGAAACTATACTGTAATAGTTTCATTTGATATTTATCTTATAATTGTTATTGCAAAGAAGTATAATATTTTTAAAACTTGATGGCAAGCTGTTATTATTTTTAGATTATATGTTTTTTAGATATTGAAGGTTAGCTTCTTGGTTTCCAAAAATATTATTAAAAAAATGTTTTAAAGAAATTGAAAATTAACAGAAAGAGTTTCATTAGGTTTACTATATTATATATAATTTTTGATTATATAATTAAATATTTAAAAATTAGTAAAGTTAAAATTTATAATAAAAATATAATAATAAATTCAAACTATTAAAAGTAATTATGGTATTATTATTATATAATTATTAGATAAGTTTATAATATTGTTAAAACTAATAAAAATTTGTATACATTTTATCATTAATATATTATATATTAATCCATATCTTTATACAAAAGCAATATTAATTTATATTACTTTAAAATTTAAAACCAAATTATAATAGATAAAATTTTTTAAAAAGTTTAAAAAAATAAATAATTATAAAAAGATAAAAACAGTAAATAAAAAAGGTTTTAAGATTTAAACTTTTATTTATTTATTTTTTATTATATAAATCTTTATATATAGATCCAATGTTGAATATATGTTTTAAGATTCTTGTTTTAAAAAGATATTTTCAATATTATATAATTAATTTTTTTTTAAAAAAAACTTTTATATTATAAATAAAAAAGATATTTTTTAATTTTTTTATTATTATTAAAAATCAAGTTTTTGTTTAAAAAGAAATATAAATAAAAGAAAAGGGTAAAAAGAATTCTTGAAATTATTTTTTAAGTTTTTTAAGAAAAATATTAAACTTTATTAGTATAGAAATATAAAACTTCTCATAAAAATCTTTTTAAATTAGAAAGAATTTATTATTATTTTATTTTATTTTATTTTTTTTTTGTTTATCAATTTAAAATTTTACTTTTTTTTTTTTTTGCAATTTAATTTAATAATTTATTGATTTTAAAATAATTAATAATAAAATATTATAAATAATAATTTTGATTAAAAGATTAAAATATAATATTTAAGTTTAAACTTTGTTTTATTTTTAATTTGAATTGATTTAATAAACTTTATTATTTTTAAAAATAATATGATTCTTTAATTAAAACTATACAAAAATGAATTAGATGTTGTGCAAAAGATTAATACATAATATAATTGTAGATTAAAAAATAAATAAAAAATAATAAAAATTTAAAAAATTTATTATGTAAAAGATTAATATAATATAATTTGATTGTAGATTAAATAAATAATTTCAAAATTAATTATAAAATTTATTTTGTTTTTAAATAAATTTTATGGATTTTAAAAATATTAAATTGAAAATTATTAATAACCAAGTTCGGAACTAAATTTATTACAAAGAAATCACGTTGAATAAGATTGTTAACTGGCTAATTATCGACTCAATAGGAGAGCGGATGGATGGAAAGACATTAACTTACATAATCCTTTGTTATGCTCTGGACTATTAAAGTTATAATATTTATTAAATAAAAAAATAATTTTTTAATTATTATAAGATTAATTGATTGATTAATTTTTTGATAATATACTATAGATTAACAAAATGGTTAATATTTGATCACGAAAGTTTTACCAAGTTTTATTTTAATCTAATTAACGTTTGAATATATGAAATAGTTTATTTTTTTTTTAAACAAACAATGCACAATATTTGTTAACTATATAATTTAACAAAAATAATTATCATTATTAAAGTTAAACGTCAAAAAAAAAAAAAACGTTATTTGCTGCTTTAAAATGAATGAACTATATAAAGTAGATGTTAATTAAAAAAATATTTATTAAAATAAAATTACATTAAATGTTTGGCTTCTTTCGCCTGCTACTGTAATTTTTTCAAAACAAATATGCACAGTGAGGAGCAACAAATCAATGAATAAATGAAATTAATAAGTATTAAAATGAATGGAATCATAAACTATTTGGCATTAAAATGAAAAAAGGTACATAATTCAGTGTTTCTTCGGTGCTTCTTCAAGCTTTTTGCCAAATCCTTCAGCTCTCTTAAACAACTCGACGGCAGCTTTCTCTGATAGCTTCACGTATTTCACATACTTTTTGTTCCAGGTATCAAAAAATTTCGGTGGTGGTAATTTATCTTTCTTTGCAGCTTCCACCGACGCGTCATGAAAAGCATCAGTTGCTTTCACGTATTTGGCATTGATCTTTTTCAAATCTTTAGCAAGAGAAGCGTATAGATCCTTGAATCTCACTCCAAGGGTGTGAGTTTCGGGTCCTATCGTATCAAGTTTTTCTTCTCTCTCTTCAAAAATAGGAATTGCCTGAGTAATAGCAATGAGTGAAATTAAGAAAACAATTAGGATCGTTAAGAGTTTCATGGTTGTCGAAGTTAGAAGGATTTATTTTTTCTAATTAGAATTTATAACGTAGGAATGTATATGATGAGCGCAGCTCTGATATGATGTTGGTCATTAGGTGAAGAATTCGATGTATATTTATAGCAGATTTTACACCGTTAAGTTTCATTTCTTCACATGTGTTAATTGTAGCGGTTGTTGATGCGGTGATAGATTCATATGTGATTCACCTTCGTTTCCGATAATTAATGAATCCAGGATTTATTTCTACAAAGCGACATGACTCTTCTGTATGGTAAATCCTCCCCATACACGCAAATTCTTGTACGGTAAATCTATAAATTCCCTATACAGATTTGCAATTGCCAGTCCGTATCACACGGAATACGGTCAAACTCTCAAATAGTCTATTTTAGTTGATGATCGAAGCATTAATTGAATTTGATACATTGGGGGATTTTCGAAAAATCCGAAACTTTTTTAACGTAAAAAGTTAATACATATTAAACTTTTTATTTTACTAACTATATCTCTTCGTAAGTTTTAATTAACTTTTTATTATTGAGATTTAGGCTATATTTATATGAAAATTTTCTTAATTTTTGACTTTCATTTTAATTTGCAACTTATTTTTTATTTAAGTGTTTTATTAAACAATATACAGTACCTTATTTTAGATTACTTGCGTATTGATTTTATAAATTTTTATTTTATATATAAAAGTATATTTATTAAATATAAATATTACTAATAAACATTCAAATTTAAAATTATTATCATTAATTTATAATTATAGCTTTTAACAAATATTTTATTTTATTATATCCATTGACTTTAATCTATTAAGTAAATATATTAATAAAATTATTCTATTGTAATTTATAAATTTTGATAAAAACAAAATATCTTTTTAAATAACAAATATTTGTTTAATTTTAGTGTAAATTTTATTATATATAAAGTAACAATATAAATAAAAGATTTTTATATAATTATTATTCAAATTCAATTTATATCTAATTCAATAAAATCAATAAGACTATTGGTATTTTTTATTGTTAAATCAAGTTTGATCTTTTTTTAAAAAATATTTTCAAAAGTTACTACTATATTTCTTTTTTTAATTAAAAATTTTTTAATCAAAAAAAAAAACCCCCCCAAGTAATTTTTTTACTACTAATAATAAAAAAGTATTCAAAGAAAAAGAAATTAACTATAAAATATTAAAAACTTCCTTTTATTTTTGAAATAAATTTTATAAATATTTGTTGCAATAAAAGAGCATATTTTTTCCTTTTCAACTATTATTGTTCTTTTAAAATTTCTAATTTTATAATTTTTTTAGAAAAATTTATCTACTCAAATTGATTTTAAATTTTTAAATAGTATTTTTTTTTTTAATGCTGACTAGTCTTACTTTATTTGGAGTAAGTAGAGATATACAGTACATATTATTTATGCTACAATTTCCTATATTAATTAAACTAGTTTGATAAAAAAAACTCACCTTATGATCTATTATTACCCTAATAGAAGCTAACCAGTCAAAATTGGACCAATATTATATAAAATTATAAATATATGAAAGGGGTATATAATGTTTTTTATATATTGTCCTATATAATTGTTTACTAGGTTTATATATTAACCTTTATATATCTTTTCAATATGTTGTTCTGTGTGTTTTTCTGTGAAATGCTATATTTAACTGTTTTTTCAATTTTTCATATAATATCTTAAAATTTTTTCTATTTTTGGAATTTTCATATCTTTGGATCCAGATATTATAAAAATATTTGCTAGTTTCTTGTCTGATTTCTTTTATATATTTTGTTTCAATTGTTTATTTGACATACATCTAGCTATTGAATTATATATTTCTTTAAGTATGATTTCTTTAATAATGTATATAAGATATTTAATATACTGCAGAAAGCTATTTCTTAAATATTTATTAATTTGTGCTTCTATATCTTTTATCTTATTATATTGTCTAACTTTGTCAATAATTGTATTTTTCATTTGTTCTTCTATTTTCTATTATTGGCCTTGATACATTAATAGATATATATTTGTTTCTTTGAATCTATAAATTATATATTTATTATCTTTATAAAGATTAAAAAGTCTCTGATGTAGTTTGATTTTGTCAAAGTTCTTAATTCTATAAATATAAATTAAATTTCCTTTATTATTGGTCTTTCCTATTAGTTTGTCATTCACCATTTTGATTGGTTGCAAATTTATCATTGTTGTAAGCCAATATATGTATTTAATGATTTGATCATTAAATTCAATTCTTGTTCTATTCAAAAGTCTTCATCTAGTCAAATATATTGTCTTTGTTAATTCTTTAACCATAGTTTTAATAGAAACTTAGAATATATTATTGTCTTATTGAGATAATAAAGTGAATTGTAGATTTTTTGTAGGATAGATACAAATTATTTTATATCTTGGTACTATATCATAATATGTATCTATATTGTCTAATTTGTTTGCTTGTTTATTATATTTGTTGCTTGTATAGATCTTGACTTTAGTGAGGTCAATCTTCATCTAGCCAAATATATTGTCTTTGTTAATTCTTTAACCATAGTTTTAATAAAAACTTAGAACATATTATTGTCTTATTGAGATAATAAAGTGAATTGTGGATTTTTTGTAGGATAGATACAGATTATTTTGTGTCTTGGTACCATATCATAATATATATCTATATTGGCTAGTCTGTTTGCTTGTTTATTATATTTGTTGCTTGTATAGGTCTTGACTTTAGTTAGGTCAATCTTCAGATAGTTACCTATAATTATATCTTAAAGTAGTTAAAGCATCCTTAAGTTTTTCTATTTCTTAAACTTATATATGTAATTTGTTCTTATTACTTTTTAGATACTATTGATTATTGTCTATTTGTCTATGTGAATGGTGACTCTACTATATAAGGGTAGTATGCTAATTGCTATTAGGGTAGTTATCAGTTCTGCTCTAGTTGATAAGGGAAGTTTTCTATTTGTTCTTAAAATTGAAGTTCTTGATTCTCCCTGATTATTATTATTCATCCAAAACCCATATGATATTAGTTATAATAGCATAATATAGATCTATCTGTATATATCTCAAAGTTAATTTCATTTTGTATTTGCTTTGTTATTATAATTAATTTCTCTAAAATAGAAAATGTTGTAGTCAATATTTTTTTGATCTGTTCTGATATCTTGTTCTCTATAAGTATTTGTACTTCTATATTATGATTTATTAATCTATGTTCCTGTTTTTGAATACTGAAGTTGTTATTGTGTTCTGTTTGCTAGCTATAAAGATACATGTGCATCAGGAAATTTTTTTGATAGAAAATTTCAAAAATCTCCACCAATTAAAAATTTTTGAAAATTTGTAAAACAAAAATAATTTCATTAATTTTAATAATAAAAAACTTTGATTATCTTTTATTTCAAAAAATTTCAGAAATATTACTGATTAATTTTAGCCAATCAAAAATTTAATTTATAAGTTGTCATAATTTTGCCAATATGATTTCAATATTATTTCATTTTTAAAACTATGAAGTAATTTTTGAAAGGTAATGAAGAGTTGCATATGGTCATAATATAATATAACTTTTCTTTTTTATTAATATCAAATAAATGAAAAGAAATATGTAACATATTTCAACAAATTATTTTAGATTCAAGCTCTGATAAAAAAGATATTTCGAAGCCCTTCAAAAAGTTCAAGAGTACTTTTAATACCCTGGATCAAGCTGAAGAATGAAGACTAATACCTTAAACTAAAATAAAAACAGAGCTGCTCTAGAAGGAATTAAGATTCCCCAGTTATATTCTTGAATCTTTGCCTATTAGGAAATTGCCCAAAGAATCTTTAGGTATATTAAAAAAGATATAACTATTTAAATAAATATTAATTTATATATTTAGTTTTTAATATAGTAATCGAGAGGCTTTTGGAGTCCTATGAAAATCTTTATAAGAAAATTGATTGGTTATTAGATTTCAAAAAGTCATCAAGGATAAGGTTAACCACCTAGAAAACGAAATTCACACAAGTCAACATTTAATCACTGAATAGAATTTTATTAAGGTATGATTTAATTTTTAATTTTCAAAGAACTTCAATAATATTTTGGATTCTATAATAGTATACAATCAAGAGTATTATGAAAGAAATCTTTTTTGATAATATATATGTAGATCCTGAAAATTTTTACTAGCATACAGAGAAATATTTTCAGTAAGAACATTCAGAGTTCTTTGAAGGCCTCATAAGAAAATAGTAAAAGACATATTATATAAAGCATATTCATCAAGCAGTAATATTGCAGTTATTAATAATATAAATAAATTTATTAACAATATTATTTATTTAATAGCTTATGAGGAATACAAAAAACTCTTTTTGCTGATCCTCTGACCACACACAAAAAAGACGTTCGTAAGAAGTTTTCATACTTTTAGACTAATAAAGTCTTACTACTCTCCTTAAACCAACTTGAAAAAACTTCAAGAACTTGTCAACTACCTCCACTCTTCTTGCTTACTATCCTCTTCAAACAAAAACTTGACTTCTAGTGACCTTAAAGGTCAAGCAATATCTTTCCTATCTAAGGCAAGAAAGTTCTAAAAGGAAGAAGAACTAATGTGCCGCTATCTCACACCATAGAGAAACACTACAGAAGTGTTGTTATGACAAGAGACAATTTTCCCACTCTCCGGTCATATTTTGCTTCACATAGTGCTCATTCTTGGTTTTTTCTGGGGGATTTTGCTTATCTCAGTTTGACCCTGAATTTTGAGTAGCACAAAGTTTCTCACACCGTGATTGGGCAGACAGAGCTCTCATTAGTAAAAGAAGTAAACAAGCTTCTATTGGTCACATCACATGTCTGAATGCATTTCCTCAGCTCCATAAGAACCTGAGGTCCACCATAAATCATTGGGTCTGGTGCAGGTGGATACAGGACACTCCCACATTACCTCATTGGTTTCTTCAAGAAAGAGTCCGTCCGACCATGGTAAAGGTCACAAGATACTACAACTGGATTTTATAGTTGCAGTCACCTACTTCTGACCACTGAATAGGTTCTCCTTAGCTCTGTCAAATAGGTAAAGATTCGAAAGAAAGTCCTCGTGGCAAAGTTGGATTTCATGATAGGTGAGATATAAGGGTCAAATTTTTCTTTTGGGATGACGTGTCTTACCTGAGTACGTGCATTAGAGAGAATCTAGGAATATCGATGAGTCTTCTATCCTGGTGTGCGAATGAGATGGATCTGAGTAATTCTCCCCGACAACAGGCCATCCGGTATATTAGAGTGATTAGAATTTTATAACATGGAGATGCTGAAAGCAGCTGAGGAACAGGCAACACACCCTTAACCGACGAAGCCCTCGAAGAGTAACCAGCCTATAGAATCGAAATAGTAGTAGTAGCATAAAATTGTAACTCTCATATAAAATCCTAGGAGTGTTTTATTGACAATGATGTCCTATATTAGCAATTTGTATTTTACTTGAGACTCCAATAAAACAAAGCTGAGTCGCCGTTTCAAAAAAAAAAAAAAAAAAAATTTAATAGCTTATGAGAAAACACCGATCTTTTTGAGGGTCCATGGCTTCAAAAATCTGAGATGTTATGTTTTCAGTCTTTAGCAAAATCTTCCTGAATATAATTAATATAAATGCAACTACTATTGAAATTATAGTCTGAAAAAAATTGCAAAAAATCTGAAAATGCTTTAAAAATTTTTATGTAAGCCTAGGGAAAAAACCAAAGCATGATGACACACATTCTCAAAAAAGTCTAGCCAAAAGGGGATGCCTCTATGAAACAAGTTGTAATCTCTATTGCAATATGCCAAATAACTTTAAATATGAGTATTAAAAGTATTTTAATTAATGAAATGTTAATTAAAAACAAAATAGAAAAAAAATAAGATAAATTTTAAAATTCTCTGAAGTATTATAGAGTTATTTGTTTACTAATAATATATTTTAAGAAAAAATTAAAAAAAAAAATCAGATTTACAGAAAACAATTCAAGCAATGAAGATTAAAAAATGTATGAGCAAGAAGATATTGAAATTCAAAGTACTCTGGAGGAAGTAGAAAATGATAAAAATAATCCAGGATTATAACTAGAAAATGTAGAAATAGAAAGATCTACTTTGGCAATAAGTGGTGTAAATATAAATAATTAATAAAAATAAGTAAAAAAAAGTAATTTTCCATAAATAAATTTTTAAAAATAAATATTTTAATAATAATGTGAAATTATTTTATTAAAATTTAAAATATTCGAAAATTTCTAGAGTTCTATATATAAATCTTTACTTCAGAGACTTCTAATAATGACGGAGTGCCTTCAAATTTTTATGCCCAAAAATCTTTGAAGATCTTTGTCAAAAAATTTTCTAATATAATATTGTTATCAACCTGATAGTAGATCAATCAATTACAAACAAAAAAATTTTAAATATAAAAGGCTAAAATATGTCTTTTCAAATTTCAAAAAATTGAATTTATATAAATATCCAAAACTTCTAAAAAAAAGAAGATACTATTTTTATATAGACAAATAATATATTATATAATAAAATTGATTATATTTAAACATAATCAAAAATTTGTTGAATAATATATATATTGTAATTTTAAGAATACATTAATAGAAATACTAATAAGAAGTGATTATACTTTATTATTAATAAAATTAATAATAAACAACTTATTGAAAAAATCATGTCCAAGAATAATATAGAATAAAAGAAAAAAAAATATCTAATTCTATAAACTTTATAATCAAATAATAAAAAAAATTCAAATATAAGATAGAACTTTAACTTCCTGAAGTAAACTTATAGTCTTGATAAGAATAAAAAAATAGGATTTAAGAATTTTAAGAATACTTAGTACGAACTTGAAGTAACAATTATTAAAAGTATATATAAGTACTTGAAAAAAAATTATTTCACTTTCAATAAAAAGATCAAGTAGAACCAGTGATTCCAAGAAAAAATTTTGAACCCTTTAGAAAAGTTAACAAAATTCATTTTCTATTAAAAAAAATATCAACAAACTGAAATATAGCAGTCTTTAATTATATAGAAAAAACTATCACAAACTTATATAATCTATATAAGAAAATTTGTAATAAAAATTGATCTCTTCCTAAACATCAAAAAAAATTTCAAAACAATAAAGAAATATTATCAAATAAAATATACTTTAGAATAATATACTGTATAAAAAAATATATAGCTACTAATTCTCAAACCATAAAAAGCAAGGTTAAAGACTATTATAAAGAAGCTTTAAACAAAGAAATATTAACTTTGAAAGTTTAGATTCTCTTAAAAATAAGAATATCAACCCAAAAAATGAATTGATCCAATATACTTAACTTACAGACATCAAAAGCTATTTATTAAACAAAAGATAATTGTATATATAGATAATACAATCTGGATAACTAGATTTAAGCAAGATAGGAAAAATATTTTGAAAAAGGTTAGAAAATTTTATATAGTAAATAATTAATAGATTAATTGTGAAATGTCAATTTTATTTATAATAAATCAGAATAAACTATAATCTGAAATAGTTTATACTAATACTAATAAGACAAAAGTTAAGGAAATAAGAAAGAAGATTAGACATGATTCTTGAAAGTTTGGTTTGAAAGAAGATACAATAGCAAGAATATAATTAGCTTGCTAAAAGCTAAGATTAAATCTATAAATCTGATAATAAATAGAAAAACAATAATTGAGAAACATACCAGATATATTATTAATAAAGGTTTGATTTTCTAGATAGAATATTATATATAGTATATATACATTGGAAAAAAGATATGTAACAAACTTATAGCAATATATAAAAAATAAAGCTCTTATCTGCAGCACAATATCAAATAGTTATATTTATAATAAAAAGATATTAGATTTCAAGATTATATAGGAAATCTAATTTGAAAGTCATATAAACTCTTTTTTCTGCTAGCTTAATAATTTAAAAAATACAGAAATAATAATAATTATTTATTTTAAACAGAATCAACTGAAACACTGAGAACCTATAAATATCTTGAAATATTCAATAGAAGTTATATTTTTTGAAAAAGATAATTTTGCAACTATTGCTTTGATCCTGATCAATAATTTTCAAATCATATATAAAGATGGAAATAAAAAGATCTCTTTTAAGTCAAGGAAGGTTTAATTTTAATTAAGTCAATTCTTAAGGAATATAACTATAAAAAGGCTATAGTATCTCTTAAGAAATACAATATAATATTCTTGGATCAATTAATTAA